CATCCTGGTCCCAGGAGAGCCCCTTACCGGATTTGGGATGTGTCGGGGCGGGGAGCGCTCGCGCGGACCGCCGGCGCCCGGGCTTTGGCGTCGTCTGTGATGGCGACGGGACACCCCCCGCCACCGTGGGAGGGGGGAGGGGAGGGGGTGCCGACGCCGGCAATGATGGGCGGGCGGTGATGGGCGGGCGGGCGTTGATGAGATACTCAACGCCGGCGCGCGAGATATCTTATCTCAGTAAGTAAGTCGGGCGGGTTATCTCTCTTGATCTATCTCATCTATTCGATCTGTACGCAACATGCCTTGTAGGTATTTATGTGTAGATATTCCGTAGTGCTACTGGCAGTGTAGGGCGGTAGGCAGAGCGGGGCTTGTTAGCTTGCCATACCCACACGGTGTGCCAAGCTAACAAGCTCAGTAACCTGTGATGATCAGGTGGGGATGATTGCATCGGTATGATACCGTCATGGTCACTCAGACATGAGTAATTTGCACGCATCTCCTATACCGGTTTGTACGTCCACATGACGTTAGATATTGAATAGACGACTGCATTTTCCTCTCAGACTACAGGTATTGACCAGGGATGTGGAAGATCAGTGGTTAGATGTAGAACGTCAAACACATTTTCCTGCTGTCTTGCGCCTACTTGTCGCATCGGATGCGGGGAAGATGCCTCGTATGGCGGCTTGCCTGGACGGTCGCGCGCCACGGATCGTTAAGGTTTCAGGATCTTCGGCGTGTTATATGTATCTGCACAAGCACTTTTCTATGAAGACGTCCATATCAGTATATTCAGAGCTACCCACATTTAGTGCAGGATGTGTTTAATACTGTACTGCCGCCCTTGCGGCGCATGGCTTGAGCATTTTATCGGTGCGAGCCAATGTGCGTAGCCTAGACATGGAGGGTATTTCAAGCACGTATCTCCGAGGCCTTCGGCCGACGTACATGTTCCGAGTTCTTCAGGGCGACGAGGATGGTTTGGAGGTAAGTGTCAGATGGGCGCGCGAAGCTGACATGCATTACTAGATCTGGGTCGAGGTTATAAGTATAGACCAGGGCAAGTACTACACAGTACTACACCCCTTGTTTATACGCTGCTCATGTATATATAAACACTATGCAACATAGCATATGTCTCCCGAAAAACGATATTGGGGCCCGCCCGGGTACAAGGCGCGGCCACGTGACTTAAACTTGAAAGTCGCGTCGCGTCTTCTTTCGAGGCTCCCTCGATCGTCCCCCTCCTCTGAAACCCTACGCCCTGTGCTTCCCTGTCACGCTATATACATATAAGGTCTCTGAAGTCCTTGACCTATCTTCACGTCGCTTTTCCTCCAACCACCATCTCCCACCCCCCGCCCCTCCTTGCAGGTGCGCTACACTTTTGCCCTCAAGCCACCCTCATAATCAGTGCCTTCCCCCCTCCGACACCGTGATAGGGTAACGTGATGATGGAGGTGAGCACCGGTGAGTCCTAGCGCGGATGTTCCAGCGTGTCAATTTCTTCACGCATATATGCGCGTATATTGACATTTAATCCTCCTTATTGTACAGTGCTCTGAGCTACGCGTCTCTCGTGCGCCAACTCGTTGCAGTACTCTTCTCTTATCCTCTCTAGGGCGCACAAAAACAAAACACGCACTGCTGCTCTACCTTGCACTTCTCCCTCGCGCGCGTACTCTTCGGCGGTGTCTGCTCGGCTTGTCTTTGTTCTTCGACGACTTCTGGTGCTTGCCTTCCTTGGGCTACCCCTTTCGCGCTCTGGTGAACGGCTCTTTCTAGACGACCGCATCTTCCTCACGCCGATCCCGTGGGCCAACTGCGGATCAACCAGAGGTGGCCTCCTGCAGCTGACCAATGAGTAGTGAGTCCTCGTCTTGTGCGTTGACATCTCGCTCCTCGTGAAAAGAAGACATGCGTATAGGCGGCGTAGAATTCGTGCGTTGGGCTTCATACTGGTGGCGGAGACGGCCAGGGAAACGTCAGCACGAACGGCGACGCGCGCGTCCGATCTGGGATCGCTCATATGGCTGTCCAAGGTGACGATGGCGACGCTCGCGAGGTGTTATCCGTCGCCGTACATCGCCAGACGGCAGCACCCTTCGTGGGAATCACATATGTGAGGGCTGGGCGTCAGCGCAAATAAGTGTGCGTGAAGTGAGTTGCGGAGACGCGTAGAGCTGGACACACGTCACTTACGAACGGCCAAGAATACGGGGCAGGCAGGGGAGGTATCACGACTAGGCCGTGAGTGATCCAGATTGGTGAGGCTTACAGCACGTCGCCAGGGAGATAGTTATACACGACCACAGCAGAGGTACGTGGTTTCTTTCGCCGACTCCGACCCGACTCGCATTGTGCCCGCAGATGGCGTTGGCGCATTTTCGATGCGCGTCGGAAAACGCGACGATGTGGCTGGGAGGTGGGCGGTTTGAACGTTCAGACCAATTGGAGGTTGGTGAACGTCGTCCTACACCCGTCGCGATCCTCGGATGCCCGTCGACGGGGAGCGTCATGGTGCCCATCCCTGGCGCGATCTGCATCTCGTCATGCTCGTGTGCGGGCGCGTCGTAACGACAGGCTGGAGCTCGATGAGGCCGGTGGTGACCGCGTATGCCTCGGTGGTCGTGATTGGCTTCACGATGGCGGGGACGGCGGTCACTGTGCGGGGGCGCGGTCAGGTATATCAGATGACAAAACAGACGCACTTAGTCGACGGCGAAGGTCGCAAGCACGGAGCTGAGCGCTGAGCTTGTATATCATATATCATGTGTGATAAGGTCTGAGAATAGTGGTAGCGGTACTAAGGTGCTACTCGTAGGGTATTGATGCGCGGCTTTTATGTGTCTCGACATCGGTCTGCACGTTGTTTGTATGGTCGCTGTGACCCGGTGTTTTGATGGTTGTAGTAGAGGTGAGTCTTCGGTGTCAATACTGAGTACATGAAAGAGACCCAAAGGTACGTAGGGCTAAAGGGAAGTCGTAAGCTGTAAAAAGACGTATAGGAGGACGGGGACATACCGCACGAGATGTCGGTGGAAGAGCTGAGCGCAGGGTGACCGGACAATCGTAATGGCGGCGTTACTTGCATAATGTCCCCTTCCTTAAGTGTACCCATGGTAGAGATGGAGAAGACGGTTGCCATCGTGCTAGAATCAGAGCGGATGCGAGAATACAGGCGATTCAAGTTGCAGTAGTCTGTCCAAAAAGCGAAAAGTGAGTTGAGCGGATGTGAGTGACGAGTACGGAGGAGCATGTCGAGTCAACCCGGTTAGAGAACGGATTGCCTATGTTCTGATCTCAAGGATATACCACATGCAAAAGTCACGATGTACTGTTGTGTTGGCATCTTGCGCAATACGTGATGATCACGTAGAAGTTGCGTCTGACCAGGTCCGACCGTCGAAGAAAGTTGTAGGAGTGGAGCTAGCGGGAGTTAAGCATGATCTTGGCCATGGCGACGATTCCGCTCGATATGCCTCAGCCCCTCAGCTGCTGGTAGTAAGTATATAAGGAGCCCGGAATGAGTTGTGTACGTCCGGACTCTCTTGAAGCGCATGCAGCAAGCATGCAGCAATTCGTCTTCCCGAACTTCTCGTCTCCCGTCTCTTCCCGCGCAGCGCGCGCGCTTCCGTTCTCGCCCGCCGCGTCCTGGCCTCTCTCTCACCCACTGTTCAACAAAGCATCCTCACACCCAGTATCATATGCAAGTCGTGCGATGAAGCCGTCTAGAAAGCAGGAAACGAAGGGCTTGAACGATGGATGAGGTACGTATCGCGTTGATCAATTTGTATTGCCAGCCCCGGCTCCCCGGCGGGGGCATGCGTCTGGACTGGGCTGCAGGGCTTTTTCGTCCTATATATCCCGCCCCCTGTCCGCCACGTCTCTCTGACTCTCCCTCCATTCTGACACTCCGTGCACGTACCTTGGATCTGCTCTGTTGGTTAGAGTCTCTCTGACATGGGCTCTCGCACCGAATGTCTGTCTCGACCTGGACCCGTTCCCTCGGGTCGCTCCCCTCGTTGCTTCCGGCATCTGCCTGGCCTGCCACGCTAGCCAGCCCAAATCGGGCGCGGCCGTATTTCAAACACTCCCAACGGGCCCTCCTCCGCGCAGCTCTTCCTGCGCCTGCCGGCAGGATAACAGCATCGGGGGGTCATACGGGATGTCATATAACCGAGAACGTCCGATGGATTGTGAAGGTGGGACAATGCGCTCGGAAACTGTGCAGGAACGGCCGCGAGGCTGCTACGCCGCTGGAGGCCGGGTTGGTCCCTGTTTTTGCCTACCGTGCTCTTGCCTGGAGGCAGAGAGTACGAAAATAACGCATCTCGGTTTGACATTCCGCCAGCCGTGCGTTAGCGAAGGTGAGCAGACGTTCGGATTCGCGCAGGAATAGCAGACGGCCGCGCGAGGCGTGCGCTCGTCACTTTTCGGAAATGTGTGCGCCTGTGTCGCCGTGGGCGGCGAGAGTCGGTTACATGACGACGGACTGCTATTCGCTGCGGCGGGCGTGTGGATCTGTTCGGCACAATCGTAACTATCTGGCTGGGAAGATGCAGGTGACGAGAGGCATTGATGTGGGCCGGGACGCACGGACACTGGGACGATGACGGCCTTTATCTATCGGGCTAGCGGCTGCATCAGACTTCAGCTCGACGCTCACCTCTCTTTCTGCTTCCGCCACCACCCGTTCCTAGCCACTCCCGCTTAACCGCCTTCTGCCCTCTTTATATTCCGCGCGTCTTGACGATCTGCGGTTTGCTCTATCTGTCCCCCCTCCTTCCTCCCGCCCTCGCCCTCGCCTTCGGTGCTGCTGCTCTCAGATTCCCTCTGATATCACCCTCTGAGCTCGCCTCCCATCACTATCTCACCACGTACCACCTCGCAACCCACTTTTCACCATGCCCCAGGACTACATCCTCGCCCGTCTGCTCTCCAACAACGCCCAGTGGGCAGAAGACGTCGACCGCGCAGAACCTGGCTTTTTCGCCCAGACCGCCAAGGGCCAGTCTCCCAAGGTCAGTTTCCGTTCAATTTACTCGCATCGACGATGTGCGCTCTTGGCACATACGCGGCGCGGCGTTGGGCGCAGTGGCGATGAGCAGCTGTAGCCGACGCCTTGGCTGGGGTGCACAGTGAAAACGGCGCTGGCGATCGTGGGCTGCGGCGGCCGACGCCTTGGCTGTGAGCTGGAATGGCAGGGTCGGTCTCTGGGCATCGGAACTGCGCCGGTGGGCGGGTTTCGTCGCACGATACTGAGGCCGAGGGGGCGCTTCCCATCGTCGTCGAGGAGCTTCGCGGGCCCTCAGGGCGGCGACACACCAACAGGACACCGTGGGTCCGGTCGTTGTCCGTCGCTGCCAGACCGCTGGCGGAGATCTCCTCGCTGTCGACGTTTAGCCACTCTTGGGGACGGGATTCTTCATTGTGTCGGTGGGAAGCACAATGGGGGATCGCCGCTCGCCCATTGAGGCTCCCTCCGCCCCCCATCCGATGAGACCATGGATGGACGTGCGCTTTTTCGACGCCGTGCCATTGTCCAGGTCGGGTGAGGCCCACCCTCGGAAATCGAGCCGCACGACTCCGCACGCCTAGATTGCCGTTTCGTCCCCGATCTCGCCACGCAGCTCAATGACGCACGTTCTAACTCTCCCTTCTCTACCTATCAGGTGCTCTACATTGGGTGCGCGGACTCGCGCGTGCCGGAGTCCGTGGTCACCGCGTCGAAGCCGGGCGACATCTTCGTCCACCGGAACATCGCGAAGTGAGTCTCCACCGCACATCGCCGCTGGCCTTTCCGCTGACCATGCCCCTCGCCGCTCAGCCAATTCCACCTCAATGACGACAGCGCGCTGTCCGTGCTCACGTACGCGGTCGCGCACGTCGGCGTCCAGCACGTCATCCTCGTCGGGCACACCAACTGCGGAGGCGCAGCCGCCTGCCACGCCGCGGCCCACTCTGGCGCACCGCCCTCGGACGAGCCCCCCGCGGACCCGCTCACGCGCTGGCTTGCGCCTCTGACGGAGATCGCGCGTGAGCACGAAGACCTGACGGAGCTCGTGGAGGCGAACGTGCGGGCGCAGGTCGCGAACATCGCGCAGGCGGGGCCGATGGCGGCCGCGTGGGCGGCGGGCAAGGACGTGCAGGTGCACGGGTGGGTGTACGAGCTCGAGACGGGGCGCATGCGCGATCTGGGTGTCTCTGTCGGCAAGGCGGGGCCGGTCTGAGCTGCGCGACGCTCAGGTGAAGCTGAAGTTGGGACGTTTTTGGTTTAAACGTGTATATTTACGCGTGCGCCTGAGCACTGCTTGTACATGATGACATGACATGATGATTTATCCCGGGAGAGTATCTCCCCGGGTGTTGGTTATATCTGTGCGGGCGTATATCTGAGTGCGAGAAGATAAGCACGCCGAAAGTGGTTGGGCGCAGGACCAACATAGGACAGAGGGTAATTTCAGAGAGGGGAAGTTATCCGACCGCCGCTCTGAACAGAGTATGCAACATCAATGGGGAGATCGTTGGTGGAGAAGGTAAGTACGTAGCTTGGTGAGCGATATGACTGCGAAATTAAAGCGGCGTGGTTCTGGCGTAAGAAGGTGAGTACACAACACGGGTGCAGACTGAGTCTGTCAGCTGCAGCTCTCGTCCACCACGTACCTCCCGGCTCTACGCTACTGCATGCTCGTCTTGACGTCGCTCCGAGGGCCGACCCCCCCAAAACCTAAGAGCTCGGCGCGGAGCACGCACAACATGTCCTCGGAACTCTCACCCACAGCAGGGAATTCTGTCTGAAGCTGGAATATGCCCACCGCCTGCCACCCCCACGCCCAGCTGATCGCCTCTTGTGCTAACGGCCGCTGTGTACTTCAGCTACTGCCGAGCGCGCGACGCTCCGGACAGAAGGGAGTAGATCCAGCCGTCAGTGTAGGTCCTGCCAAAGAAGCTCGGACTGACTGTCGTTGCACACGACTCGGAGGACGCCGACCGGCGCCCCGCGTTTGTGGCGGCAGTGACCCTGCGCGCGATCGGGCCCTCGCCGTGCTGCTCTTCTCCCTTCCACCATGACGTCCGCGCGGATCATGGCCTGGGGCGCGTCTCCTCTGGCGGAAGTCTCTTTGCCTTCCCAGCTGGCGCTAGGATGGCCTTACGCTCGACACGGAGGGCTGATTGTGTCACCAGGTCTCCGTTGTGTCCACCCGTTTGCCGGAGGGGCTCGCGTACGTCCTCGCACCATTGGTGGTCTCGACGAGTATGACATCCCATTGGCTAGTGTGGACGTCGTACACGTCTTCGCTGCGTTTGGGCTACGATGAGAAATACGTGATGAGGCCGGCGTGCACGACGAAGCGCACGTCTGCGACGGGCTCTACCTACCACGCTCTGGGACTGCCTCGGGTTCGAGACACTGCTCGAGACACACCTTGGACACGTTCTTCTGCATCTACTATAAGTGTGCGCATGCTCACTTCAATCCACCACTCACTCCCGCTTCTACTACCGGTTGCTCTGAAAAGGCCCAGTTCGTCGCGCTTATCACACCGTTCATCGCCTCCTGTCTATCTGCAACGATGCCTCAGGACTACGTTCTCGCTCGTCTCTTGGCCAACAATGTCCAGTGGGCCGAAGAGGTTGAGAGGGACAACCCCGGGTTCTTCAAGCGGTCCGCGGATGAGCGGCAGCAACCTAAGGTGAGCGCACAATTTCTGCTTCTGCTCGTGGTGGACCGCTGTCTGCCGACAGTACGTGGCGGCGTGAGCATCTAGCAGCGCGTTTAGTGCGATGCGGGATTGTGGTGGATGATAGGGCTTCTCTGCTAGCTTATGGCGCATGACTACGTTGCACACTCGCCGCATACACCCCAAGACACGCATTCTGACAGTCTCCTCACCCTCAGGTTCTTTATATCGGCTGCTCCGACTCGCGCGTGCCCGAGTCCGTCGTGACCATGTCCATGCCAGGCGACATCTTCGTCCACCGCAACATCGCAAAGTACGCTCTCCCACTTCCCGCCCGTGCCTCACCCTTTTCTCACTCTCGCATACCTCAACAGCCAATTCCGCCTCGACGATGACAGCGCGCTCGCTGTGCTTACCTTCGCGGTCGCTAACCTGGGGGTCTCGCATATCATCGTCGCCGGCCACACCGGCTGCGGCGGCGTCCAGGCGGCGCTCGACACCGCGCACCCGCCCGACTGCTTCGAGCCCCCGTCCGACCCGCTCCCGCACTGGCTCGCGCCGCTGACGCAGATCGCGCGCGAGTACCCGGGCGACCTCCCGGCGCTCACGGAGGCAAACGTACGCGCGCAGGTCGAGAACATTGCGAGGACGGACGTGGTGAAGGCCGCGTGGGCGGCGGTTAATGCAAATCCGGACGAGAACGTCGACCTCCAGGTGCATGGGTGGATGTACGAGCTCGAGACGGGTTTGATGCGTGACTTGGGCATCTCGAGGGGCAAGGCGGATGCTGAATGTGAACCGGCTTGAGCCTCCATGGGTTGAGATGTACTTGTATTGCGTTGCTCTTGGCTGGTGATACGTATCAATAACAAGCGGAAATCGTCAGTATGTTCGATAGCCCTACGTACGGGGGGCATCGATGAGGCTGGGATGTTCGTGGCACTGGTGGCAAGCGTACCCAAAGTCGCGGCTGGCCTAGCTGGCGTGGTTTGAGATGAGGGGCCATTTGTGAGCATTTAAAGTTCAGTATTCGCATCCCACTGTCGCTATTGGCATGCTATTGTATGTTTACACGTACCATGAGATGATCTTTGTTACTAGATAGTTGTCAAAGCAGGCGACCTCGGAAAATGCGAGTGCTGTACGTGTGTGGGTTTGATACGAGACGCTCACGTATCGCGAGTGGATGGAGAGCAGGCAGAATGGATACGGCCGTGACGACCTGGACACATAATTGTAGTAAGTACATACATTCGTCTGCATGCTCCTGGTTCCGCCTTGTCTTGTTCTCAACGTTCAACGTCGCCCCAACAGCGCGGACCGGACAACTTCCTGCTACCGGTCCACCCTCGGTGCTCCGTCGCCCCGCGGCGCCCAAAGTCATGCGCCGGAGGTGAATCTTGGAAGCATAATGCCACATCGCTCCACACGCATGCGCAGCTGACAATGTTCTCTCGCAGCTGCTACCGCGTTCGTCGACGACGGCTGAGCGCTCGGCGCTCGTTGTGGCCGGTGGAGGGGCGGATCCGGACTGTACGGGCGCCCCGCGCGACGCGTTTGTGGCAGCAGCCGCTCGGACTTTGAAGCTGCTCTTCTTCCTTCCTCCATGATGTTGGCGCGGATCGCTGGCTCTGTCCACCCAACTCTCTTGCAGACGACATGCCTTGACAGCGGTATTGGGGCGTTAGTGGCCCTTTGGATCCTGGCGCGATTCGAGCTGTCTTCCTAGCTCGCGGCGTGACCTCTTCGAAGCTCGTTTCGTGGAGGGCACCTGGAAACTTATGTCACTGGTTTTACTCTGTGTCCAATCGCCTCTGGGATGAGCGAGCATCTGTCTCGCCACCATCGGTGGCTTCGACTACTACGGCATCCCGTTGACTGCCGCGGGCGTGTATACGCGTACTCTCCACACCGTGGCTCGGATGAAGAACACCTGGTGACACCGACATGCGCGGAAACTGGGATAGTGCGCGAGCAGACGGACTTTGTCTTTCGCCCTGGAACTGTGTTTAATCCAAGATTCAGCTCGACATTCGCCCAGGAGGCGCTGCTCGTGCTGTTATAACTGCGCGCACCCCCATCTCCAGCTTCTCACTCGACCCCGCTTTTTCTTTCGCCTTCACTTCTACTGCTCTCAGAAAGGGCTCTCTGGAGGCCGAGCTCGACGCACACATCACATCGTCCCTCGCGTAGCTTTCGTTACGATGCCTCAGGACTACGTTCTCGCCCGGCTTCTCCACAACAATGCTCAGTGGGCTGAAGCCGTCGAACGAGCAGACCCCGGGTTCTTCGCCCGGTCTGCTGAAGGCCAATCTCCTAAGGTCAGTGTCCTTTTTATGCTGTCAAAAGTCCCAACCACGTCTCTCTCCGCCAAACCAGAGCACAGTCCCATGGCCGGATTGTAGCTCTCGCTCATGTTTTGACAATTTCCGCTTCAATAGGTGCTCTACTTCGGGTGTTCAGACTCACGCGTGCCCGAGTCCGTCGCCACCAGGTCGATGCCGGGCGACATCTTCGTTCACCGCAACATCGCCAAGTGAGTTTTCTTTTCGCCATACTGGTGTCCGCCCCGCTCACGACTCGTCACAGCCAATGCCCCCTCGACGACGACAACGCGCTCTCCGTGCTCATCTACGCCGTCGCGACGGTCAAAGTCTCGCACATCATCGTCACCGGGCACACTCACTGCGGCGGCGCCAAAGCGGCCCTCGAAGCCGCGCACGCCACCTGTCCCCCGTGCGAGCCGCCGTCCGACCCGCTCGGCCGCTGGCTCGCGCCGCTTACGGAGATCGCGCGCGGGTACGAGGACCTCCAGGAGCTCATCGAAGCGAACGTGCGCGCGCAGATCGAGAATATCGTGCAGACGGACGTGGTGAAGGCCGCGTGGGCGGAGGGCAGAGACGTGCAGGTGCATGGGTGGATGTATGAGCTCGAGACGGGGCGGATGCGTGACCTGTGCATCTCTGTCGGCAAAGAAGGTGTGCTGTGAACTGGGATGCGCCCCTTACTGAGCAATTAACATCGAGCATGTACGTTTATTGAGTTGTTATCGCGATTGCTATTGCATGATGACATATATCTACGAAGGGTGATTCTTTCTGCTGCTGGCAGGATCTTTCATTCACGGAGAGATGTTCTCATAGATGGGGGATATTGATCGTGAGCGAGGTAGTCCATGGGTGATGAAGCCGTGTGATCTCATGCCTTGCAAGGGTGATCGGATATAATTCGGCAGGCATTGGCTCTTCAGCGCTCGAGATCTCCCAATCACCGCCTACACCCTAGGCGTGCGCGAACACCAACTCGCCGTTCTCAAGAGTGAGCACGCAGCACCTCGGTTCGCGCCCTACTACAGCTACCGGCAGTGAAGGTTTGAAGCTTAGGGCCATCTTGTGCCACGTCCATGCACAGCTGACAACTTGTTGCAGCAGTCGCCATGTCATTCAACGACGGCCGGGCCTCGACGTTGATAAGAGACGGGAGGATGTAGGTTGGCCACCCCGCGCAGCACGTCTGCTAGGTACATCGGCCATAGATCCATCGTCGAAGCTGCTCTTCAATGGGTCACAAGGCTGCGTCCACTCGGAACGTGTGGATGGACTTTCCACCGCCGTAGGTCTCGAGGAGCATGACATCTTCTATTCTGCTGTGGACGTGTATACACGTCTAGGCTGCACCGCGACCTGGGGGAAGAGACCAAGCACCGATTATCGGATGGCACGCAGGTCTACGGGCTTCATCCATTACGCCCTGTGACTGTAGCAGGCTTGAGCTCGGCGCCCAAAAAAGGCCCTTCCCCCTGCTATAAGTACTTGGCATATCCTGACTCACTGCGTCCCCACCCTCGCCCCTCCTTCACCGACGCTCTCAAAACACTGTCCACCGCGCACCAACCATGACGATGCCGAAAAATTGCAGCCCTGCCTGTCTTCTCTCCAATAACGCCAAATGGGCTGACGATATCAAGAAGGAAGATCCAGAGTTCTTTCGAAACCGGTGCACCGACTCCAACGAGCCTGTCACCGCGGCTCTAAAGCCCCCAGTCAGTGCTCGCTCCTATTACGCTCGATCGTGAGACAAACACTGACAGCGGTTCTCCCCACCAGGTCCTCTACATCGGGTGCTCCGACTGGCGCGTGCCCGAGTCCGCCGTCTCCGCGATGCTCCCGAACGGCATCTTCGTGCACCGGAACATCGCGAAGTGAGCATCCTTCCTTGTGGTCCGCCCGCCCCGCGCGTTGCTCACATGCCCCTCCCGCACCGCAGCCAGTTTCATCCCAAAGACGACAGCGCACTCTCAGTGCTCGCCTACGCGGTCGAGAACCTGAGAGTCACGCAAATCATCGTCGCCGGCCACACCGACTGCGGCGGCGCTAAAGCATCCCTCAATGCTGCGCACGCCTCCCCGCCGCGGCCGCCGTCTGACCCGCTCGCGCGCTGGCTGGCGCTGCTCACCGAGATCGCGGGCGCGTACCGCCCGGAGGACCTCACGGAGCTCATCGAGGCGAACGTGCGCCAGCAGGTGCAGAACATCGCGAAGACGGAAGTGGTGCAGGCCGCATGGGCGGCGGCCAATGCGAATGTGAAGGAGGACGTTGACTTGCAGGTGCATGGGTGGGTGTATGAGCTTGAGACGGGCCATATTCGTGATCTGGGTGTCTCGGTGGGAAAGAAGGGCGACATCGTAGTCCGGCCTTTCAGCGCTGAAAGCAGCGCCTAGGGAGGACGGTGCATTTGTAACAGTATACGTCTGTACCATATGGACAATGTAGCTTGAGAAGCGATGACGTGTATGTCTGAAAGAAAATCTGTACGTCAGACGGTGTGCAGAAATATATCGACACCTTCAACAATTAGTTGCGGTGGCAAAAAGACTCAAAAAGCTGCCCCAGTGAGGCTCGAACTCACGACCTTCCGATGAAACTACGAGTAGAAGTAACAGTCGGACGCTGTAACCAACTCAGCCATGGGGCATATAGAGTTGTATTCCTAGTATTAGACACATACATTTGGCGTGCAGCTGACAATACGCATGCTCATGGATATCGTTCAAACTTCGAAATGAGTATAATGAGCACGTTGTTTTTGTTGGTTTTGTAGTTAATAATTACTAGACGTCATACCCGTGCTCTGCACGGGTCGTTTGATGCAGAACGAAAAACGAAGAGGGAGGAGGCATTGCAGATGATGCATTAGTAGATGTCAAGGTAGCGAGGTAGTAGTAGTATATGATCAATGGTAAAGAGACCGCATGACCGCCATAGGGGCACCAGCCAGGGCATGTGGGATATCACTAATCCTTTCGAGCACGCTTAGAGGCGTTAGTCTTGCTACGGGTGCTGCTAGAAGTCGACGTCGTCGACGATCCGGCAATGGAATCACCAGTGGTCACCTCCGCTGGCTGCACAGGGGCGGGTACAGGCATGGCGGATGTCTGAACCTCGCTGTTAGCTTGTACATCATCCCGCGAGGGCTCGGCGATGTCAGTTTGCAGAGAGAGAGTCGGGTCGAAGGCAAACTTTCGTTTGTGTGATCCTACAAAGACGTCAGCGGAGAATCAAGAATAGATGTGTGCCAACAACACGTACCTTTCCCTGACGACCTCGAGATACCGGATGATTGCGGTATGGTGCCTTGTCCCAGAGTGGCAATATCCTCCACTTCAATCACGAAGCATGTGGGCAACGCACTCGACGCATCCCGGTGGATCTTCCACAGGAAGCCGTCAACGTGCACGATACGTCCGGGATGTGGAAGAGGGGCTCCATGCTCATACCGCTTGCTGCTCAGTCGGAAGAACGCTTTGATGGGGAGCGTTCGGAGTACGGAGTCGTGAGCAAAGTAGGAGGTGTACTGGGTGGGGCTGAACTCAAAGATTGCAACCTTGCCGTCAACACCGAGAGTGCGGTCGTCGAGCTGGTCTTTCGAGGATGCAACGACTCCACTTGCAGAGATGAGGGGAGCTTGAATCTTGTTGAAATCGAAGGCGTCCCCAATAGACTTCAACGGGAGGACCTAGCCCAAGGGACCGGTGAGCGTGACGGTCTCGAAAGGTGCAGACACAATGGTGAGAGTACATACCCACTTGATGTCCCCTATAATCGAGAAGTCCTTCTCCGTCAGGCTCGCGTCAGCAGCCTCAGAGTCATCCCCGCTTTCGCTGGACATGAGGTGAAGCGGAGCATTAGGCTCCCACCGTGTGATCTAACCGCAGCGGGAAGTTGAGCTAATCCTAGAATGAGCTGAAGATTGAAAGACGTACATCTGCTTTGACAACCATAGCACCGGTCTCCGTAGTGAAGTTCAAGTGGTCACGGTTGAAATAGCGAAGGTTTGCGACTACAGGGTTGTCGAGTGCACGATTGGGGACACCGTAGAGCTGGCAGTCGAAGACAACATGCAGAGACGTGTTCGGGAGGGTACGCCGGTTCTCATAGACAACGATAGCAGTCATCTGAGCACCAGTAGACTGTAGCGAGTGAGATGCGCCGCCAGAGTGAGCAGGGACGGTCATGGTGGCTGCAAGACGACAACTCGATTAGATGTGAGTAGCATGGACCCATCAGGTGAGCGCTAACTTGAGCGCTGACCCCTGCCATCGTGTTGTATATTCTGTGCATTATTCTCTCCACACTGTCTGATCTGATATCTTATCTCAGTATATAAGAGAGGACTTCCGATATACTATGAGATACTCGTAGGGCTTCCCCGAACCTCCGCCACCCCATGTTCTGCATCTCAAGTTGCTGAGCGTGGTATGCATCTGAGTGAAGATTAGATTAGATTTGACCATATTGGGTAACTATCGCACACTGCAAGTCTGCGAGGCAGCACATATGGACGTGCTCGTGCGCGTGGTGTGCGAAGAGACAGGGCCTCTGGATCAGAGTGTCTGTACTTTCGCCGATCTAAAATCTAAGCTAGGGAGGAATGCTATGGCGATATAATGTACAAATAGTATAAGTCTAAAAAGAGCGGGTAAGTTGTATTAAGGAGCGAGTAGTAACTACCGTGTGTATTAGTCGAGCAGAACTTCAGGAAAAACAATATTCTTCGTAGTATTACTATTGTTAGGAAATAAAGCTCGTATCCGTTGTCCGTGCGTAGCGCGAGACAGTGCAACATACAACTGCCCATGAGTGAATACCGGGGTACGAAGATCAAGACCGACCACTTGAACAGACTGGCCTTGGGACTTGTTGATGCTGATAATGAATGCGAGTCGTACTGGGAATTGTCTGCGACGAAGTGTGAATGCTATGTGCCCCGTTCCGTTGGATGGAGTCAATGTGATCCGTGGAATCAGTGCAACCTCGCCATCATGGTCCCCACCAAGTATCCGGACCTCCAGGACACGGCTAGACATGCGGGACACAATCATGCGGGTGCCGTTACACAGGCCCTGGCTTGGCGAGAGGTTGCGGAGTAGGATGATCGGAGCACCGATTTTGAGATGCAGTTCAGCGGGAGGCAGCCCAGATGGACTGAGACTGTTGAGGAACTCGACAGGGATCTCTTCGGCATGGAGGCCAGATGATCGAGACGGTTCCGCACTGTCAACACTCCAGAAGATCTGTTCATCACCGCAGAACTGGTCGAGCACCTGTTGATTGATACTGTCGACGTCCACGTTGCGTGCTGAGAGGATCAAGCGTTGCCGGAAGAAGTCAGGTGGAGGTGGAAGCGATGACTGAACTATGTCGGGGTATACAAAGGCAATGAGATCGTCAAGGTTTTCGGATCGCATGTACGACGGCAGTGTTATATCCCGGTTGTCGTCTGTCGTGCGGCCATGGCCAACATCGTCCAGGAGCTGAGAAAATGCGACCATTGACGGGTCGTCTTCCAGCCGCATATTCCGATGCAAGTGAAGGACCTCCATCCCATCCCACAGGTAGGAGCTCTGCAGCGTCGCACCGACTATTTCCTCTCGGGAGCCCTTAGGGATAACGGGGAGTGTTTGCTGGAAGTCGCCTCCGAAAACGACTGTGATGTTGAACTTCTGTGTCTACGGCTGTGCCGGACCGGGAGTGGCAGTGATAGTGGCTGTGCGTCTACCATACGCCAGCATGGACTTTCCTACTTACCATATACGTACATTCTTTTGTTCTGTACTTACTTGGCATCCTGCCATCCCTCCATATGATTCTGGTACGTTCTACGATGTTCCGGACTATTCTAGACAGCGTCCGGATTACTCGCATTACTCAGCCATGGACTATCTGACCTTATGTCGATTATGCTCCCTTACTCAGCGTTACTCATCGCTCAGTCAGCGTCCTCTGGACGTCACATGCTCTCTTCTTTTACGCTTACTCATCGTCCTCCCCAGTAGTATATAAGGAGGACTCTGCAGGCCTCTGCTCTTCAGTCGTTCTCTCACAGACTGAAGAGTAAGTCCCATATTACCTATGCTTTCTTACATGTTTACTTACTAGTACTTGTAGCCTCTCTTTGTGCGGCTTACAGGTACAGTACTATGCAATCATAGTC